AAAATAAAATGAAGTGAAGTGAAAGTGAAATGAAGTGAAGTGAAGTGAAAAGTTAAAGTAACTGAAGTGAAAGTAAAGTGAAAAGTTAAAGTAAAATAAAATTATTGTATAAAATTACCTTCAGGCTATGTGTATATGAAAACAAGTGTATTTTATATTTGGATTTGGATCCCATCCTCAAAATACCTCATGATGTATTTGCAGATATTCCAAAATTTGAAAATATCCAATCCAAAACGCTTCTGGTCCGAAGCATTTCAGATAAGGGGTAGGGAACCTGCGGCCTCAAGGCTACATGTGGCCCTCTAGATCCCCAAGTACGGCTCCTCGACTGAATCCAAACTTGCCTTTTCAATAAAGGGATTTGTTCTGTGAAGTTTGGATTCAGTCAAAAGGCTGCACTCAAGGATCCGGAAGGCCACATGTGGCCCTGAGGCCACAGGTGCCTCCGTTTGTGGCAGGCTTGTGAGACAATCTAGTTTTATTTGATTAAAAACAAAAGAGCTAAAACAAGAATCATTTATACAGGTTAGATAAACAAAATCTATAAAATGTTTACTTATGTGCTGAAATTTTCTGCTGAACTGTAACTGCTAGTCCTGTCAAGTTTGCAGTCTTGGTCTGTTACTTTGGGTATCAGTAGCTCACTGGAGAGGAAAGAATACTACATTTTATCCCCATCTCAAAACTGATTAGGAATGTTCAAAGAACAAAAAAAAATTATGCACATGCATATGGCATGATAAGTTTTTTTTTTTGGCAACAGAGTCTTGCTCTGTTGCTCAGGCTAGAATGCTGTGGCGTCAGCCCAGCTCACAGCAACCTTAAACTCCTGGGCTCAAGCAGTCCTGCCTCAGCCTCTCAAGTAGCTGGGACTACAGTCATGCGCCACCATGCCCGGCTAATTTTTTCTATACAGATTTTTAGTTGTCCTGCTAATTTCTATTTTTAGTACAGACGGGGTCTCGCTCAGGCAGGTCTCGAACTCGACCTCAAGTGATCCTCCGCCTCAACCTCTCAGAGTACTAGGATTACAGGCATGAGCCACTGTGCCCAGCCAATAAGTTTTATTTTGTAACTCTGTTTTGTGCAAGAGAACTGGAGCCAGATATTAGACAATGTGTGTTTTCTCGTCTACTTCTGATGCTTTATTATCTTTGTACTTTTCTTAAGTATATATTTGGTTGATTTTTGAAATTTAGAATCCTTTTCATTTAAGTCAGAATGTTTTCCCTGTTTGCAATTTCTGGTTATTTTTAGCCTTTAAAAAGTCTGTTAGAAATCAAATAAATATTTACTTATATTTTCTGCTCCTTTTTGTAGTATAATGTTTCAAGACATTTTTATCTGAGATTTATTTTGATTCATGGTAAAACATAATGATGTAGATTTTCAGAGTAGTAGCTGGAGTGCAATGGCACAATCATAGCTTTTTGTAGCCTGAAACTTCTGAACTCAAGTGATCCTCCTGCCTCACTCTCCTGAGTAGCTAGGACTACAGGCACGCACCACCATACCTAGCTAATGTTTAAAATTTTTTTTGTGGAGATGAGGTCTCTTGTTGCCCAGGCTGGTCTCAAACTCTTGACTTTAAGTGATCCTCCTGCTTCGGCCTCCCAAAGTGCTAGGATTACAGGGGTGAACCAACGGCACCCAGCCGGTAGTGTCATTTGGAATCAATTCCTAGATAAAGGACTGGTGGGTCATAAGTTAAATTCATCTATTGTTTTGGTAAATATCACCAGATTGTACCAGTTTGCATTCTCAACAGCAATGTGAAAAGTGCCGGTTTTCATACAGCTTCAGAAATGGTGTGTTTTCAGGATTTTGTATTTGTGCCAGTTAGGTGAAAATGATGTCTTAATGTAGTTGATCATCTTTCCATATATTTAAGGGCCATTTGTATTTCTTTTTCTGTGAACTTATCTGGTCATATCCTTTGCCCATTTTTCAAACCTTGATTTACTTATTTCCTTTTTTGGGATACATTTTAAATCCCAGTTTGATCAGTTCTTAACAAATTCTTAAAGTGTGCTAGGAGCCTTTAATCTGCAATATGAGTTGCAAATATGTTGCTAGGTTTTCATTTTTATTTTTTACTTTGCTCATTATTATTATGATTATTACCATGCACAAGTTTGTTTTTAAAATAGCAGTAAGAAGTTTATCTTTGTGAATTGACTTTATTGGTCCTTTTTTTTTTCTTAATGGCTTCTAGGTTTTAAATCATAGTTGGAAAAGCCCTACCCCCCTACTTCAAAGTTATAAAAGAATTTGCCTGTGTTTTCCTCCAGTGTGTTTATGGCCTTGTTTTTTTACATTTAAATATCTTTATTGCATTTGGAGTTTTTCTTGGTGTATGGTATGAGATATGTGTCCTACTTTGTATTTTCCAGGTGGCT